TATATATATAAAAATATGATTTGCTTTATTGTACTAATTTACTATATATAGATATATACCTGATTAATGTTAGTGTTCTTGTTTAATAAACTGTGTGTATTACAGAGCTAGTGTGTGGTTGTTTTGTGGCGTACCCTGCCTGTCACAGAACAGGGGTTAGGAATGTGCTAGGAAAGTTGCATACTAAACTGGGCTCTGTTGCTAGCAGACGTGTTAAACATCCTTCAGGATGCACTGTCTAATGGCAAAAAGCCACTTTTAGAAAGACACCTTCATTTAAAATGTTTTAGAATTGGCATCTGAAGTTATTCACAATTACAAAGGAACATAGTTAGCACAGACTAGTAAAACTTTGCCATAAGTGATGTTAATCTCTTGGGCTTGCCAGTTATGCTGAATCTAACTTTATTGACGGTTGTTTTAAGGCAAGGTTTAACAGAGCAATGCTGAAAGATGTATAGTTGTCTCTATAAGGATTCTGGCAGAACTCATGGTTTAAAAAACAAAAAGAGCACTGCTGAATGAAGTAGTTCACATCATTAATAACTTGCATGTAGGTCATGTCTTGTATCAGGATTTAACAGCTTCATCCTCCAAAGACATTGCCTGTTGTCTCATTCATATATTTGATTAAATAGTCTTACTAGCTTGTGAATAAAGGGAGTCATTTCACAGCACTAAGTCTTTACAGCAGGTCTGCTGGGCTCTGTCTGCACACGATGTTCTTTGTGGTACTTCCTGCAGGATGTTTTCTTGTAACTGATCCGTGCAGTTGGGCAAATGAATATTTCACACTAGAAGGCATGCTTAGTATTACATTGATGCTTTAAAAGTCATTATGATGTTGTACAAAATAAAGAAAATTATAGCCCTGTAGAATTCAGGTTGAATATTTCTGGTGCTGACAGCATGCATTGCTTTAAAGTATATAAGCAGAAGCCTTCTACAAGCTGAAAACTTTGTAATTCTATATGGAATTGTGGCTTTCATTCTCTAGATCTCCTGAGTTTTGTGGAATTGCTCAAGAGTTGTGACACTGAGATAGGTGTAGATGTGTTATGTGAAGTTTTGTTGAATTTGGGATTGAAAAACGATAAATCAATCTGCAGCCAGAAGAGGGAGCACTATGTTAGAAGGTAAAAAAGTATATCACGTATTCTTGCAGGATGGAAATCCTCCCCTGGATCCCAGTGAACATTTTATGGCAGAAGAAGAAAAACTTACAGACCAAGAAAGATCCAAAAGGTGGGTGTGTAGCAGCATACCTACACTATCGTTACTTTTTAAAATTTATGAGGATGTATTTAAAGGGGAGAGGTAGGGTGGGAGATGAAATATAAAGATACTGTTGTTTTTCCAGATTTGAAAAAGCCTATACGCATACTCTGTATTATCTGGCACAAGTCTACCAACACCTGGAGATGATTGAGAAGGCTGCTCAGTATTGCCATACTACTCTTAAACGACAGCTTGAGTATTGTGGCTACCACCCAGTAGAATGGGCACTCAATGCTGCTACTTTGTCACAGTACTATCTCTCTAAGGTAATATACCTAATGTTTTTCTGTTGTAATTATATCATAAACTATCAAATAAGAATTGTTTAAACAGCTGTTTGTGGCAGGACTCTATGTTGAACTAAAAATGTGCTCCTATCAAACTACGAGTTGTCTTCTGACATGAAACATCTGTTAGTTTTTTCTGAAGAGGACGTGGTGGCTTTCCTGTGGTGGTGTGATGGCAGTAGGAAAAATGAGCAGGGGTGTAGGCTTAAGAAAAGCTCCATAGTTAATCAAGTATCAGCAGTTATGTAACATGATGTTTATAAGTAAAACTTTAAGGTTATAATAACTTTTAAATTGTTTCTTGTATTGGTTTCTTAAAATAAAGAGTTTAAAACAAAAACCATCTGAGGGTGAAGGTATTGCACGTTGTGTATTTCCTATAAATTAATGTCCTTTGTACCTTAGCACATGCTTAAGACTTGTTTGAGCCTATGTGAACATTAAAGTATGTGAGATGGTATCTGTATGCTTCCGTCTTGAGTCTGTGTTGACTCTAAATAATCTACTGTGTTACAAAATGCTTCATCTTTATTTAGGAATTTCTATATTCCAGACTATTCAGATGCTCTTTTCTGATGCTTAAAAGAATTCTGCCATTCCTAAGCCAGTGTAATTTGATGCTTTGATAGCACTAATCATTAAACAATGCACTGCCAAATATGAGTAAAGGAATCTAAATCTGACTCATAATGTTGACTTATGTGTCTGTCTCTTTCCGACTAAAAGCCCATGATACAATCTTTACCACAAGACATCACTTCCTTTACCACAAGGAAGTGACAGTAGCATACATCAGTACAGTGAGAATGTTTACAGTATGTTTGTCCAATATTAAAAGCACAATTGCTATTGTGGCTGTCAGAGAGAGAAAATAGTTGGTTAGAAAATACTGTACTCGGTAGTGGATGTGGAAAAATTGTCTCTCTCCTTCCAGTGCATGGGAAGAGAGCACTCCAGAGCCTCTTGGTTCTCTGATTTCACTTGTATTCGTTTATCTTTACTATCTGAGGAGAGGGATTTATCCAAGCTGAGAGCAGTGCTTGGGCTGCTTATACCAGTCATAAATGCTGCCATTTCTTTTTCTCTTAGCAATGTTTTATGGAGTCCCGACACTGTTTAGCAGCAGCCAGTGTCATCTTTAGCCAAGCTGGACAGGTGCCATCTGCTGAAGACAGTAAGTTCATATAAAAGTTTTGAATAAAATGTTGCAAAGTCATGATACATAATGTTTAAAAATGAAGTCTAGCAATATGTACTAAGCTTATCTTTTTAGTTAGCAGTAAAGTGGAATGTTTCTGAAGAGCTGCTGCTGCGGCAGCTTAAGACTGGCTATTGAGTAAACCCTATGAGAAAAACTCAAGAGCTTGTTGCTGGTGTTTCAGAAAGTGTGCCAGAATAAAAGCGAAATTTTAAACCAGTATATCCATTTCAGTAGTGGCAGTGTCACTGTTCATCCATTTGTCCTTGTACATGTGCTGAAATGCAGCTTTCCTTTGCTTCTCAGTCATCAGAGGGCAATGATTCAAGTGAACTAAACCAAATGCTTCTTGGGAATAGTTTTAAAAGAGGGAGGGAAACACAGCATTTAAAAAACCCAAATCCGGAAGATAACTTGTATTGTCTTTTGTTGCTGGATGCTGCAGCTTCATTAGCAGTTATTTTTAGAGTTGTAGCTCCCCTTCTTGTTGTTTTGGGTATTGATGCAAAGGAACAACTCTGAGGTTCAGTGTGAAGATCAGTAAGAGAAACCTGCAGAAAACCAACCACAGTTTTAGGGATCTGTGGTTAGATGATTGTATCAGTCCTCTGTTCTGGGCTTAGTCTTTGCTTTTCTACAGCACAGCCTTTTACATTCTGTGTCTTGGGCAACTGAAAGTTTCAAATCAATAGAGCTTTAACTTGTGGAGAGTGAGCAAGTAGTCAGGGTAGCCCCTCTGTTAATTCATAACCAATATATTCACTGTTCAAAGTCAGATTTAACTTCAAATGGCTTGAGCCATTTTCAACACAAGCTCTTTAATCCACTAATGTTGTTATTTCAGGTTAAAATATAACCTGAATAGACATACCTGAATTTTATTTAATCGAAGTTCAGTGACGGTACATTAATTTAATTGCTTTTAGTATTTCTCTTAGCTCAGAAATAAGGATTCTATGCAGTTGCCTGTCTTATTATTGAAGTACTTCGAGGATGATTTCCAAAAGCTTTTTAGTTTCAGTGAAAGAAGACTGTTGAGTCAGTTTATGTGGATCTGTTAGCCTGTTTGAAAGCAGTGTATTACAAAAATTTCAGTAGTAGGTCTGAATCAGTGTTTATGGGCTTCCATAGCTACCTGACTGCGCAGTTGTCAGAGTTCATTAATATGATGCTTAAGCCAGTAAATGAGGTTATTTTTTTGGTAGGTGTGTAGAAACATACAGTTAGTTACAGTCTCAAATTCAGGTGCAAGATGGGAAGTCATAGATAAGAGTCCTATTTTTAATTGTCCTTTATAGATTTCTTGTGTGATTTTTGGTCAGGTCAAATAACTTCTTCTATCTTAACTTCCTTCTGCACCAAATAGGAGCAGTGATATTTGTGTTTGTTTCAATGGAGTAAACATCCTATTTTCCCTTCCTTTTCACTGTACTGAGAGCTGGGCTGCGGACTTGAAGATCATTATGCAGAAAGTCCTAACTTATAGTAAGGTTAATGCACAGTCAGTGTTAGCCACTCTCAAGCACATTCGTTTTATCATGTTAATCGGAATATAAACAAATACAGAGGTATTTAGTAAAGGTGCCTTTTCATAATTTAGCAACAGTTCTTATTTCCATAATAAGAACAACTGGATTGACTCTAATGAAAGATAATGAACATGATGGATCCAAGTCTAAAGATGGCTTTTTATTTGGTGAACATGAATGTTAGCATCCCTGCATTGTTAGCAAACTCGCTGCCCTCTGCCTAGACACTGGGAAATGAGTTTTCTCTGAGATCCATTTGGTTTCTGAAAATACTATCTTGAGACATCAGCAATGCTGCTACTTATGACAGTGGGGAGAAAAATACTCAAGTTATAGAGCTAATAAATCTTATGTTAGTACCATGTAGATTAATCAAAGGCAGTTTCCCTTACTTTTGTTCCCATTTTTTGTAGCAAGTCTGGGGCCTATTGCAATACAGATGCCGTGAGAAACAATTGGCAGGCAGCTGAATCACAGAAAATGCATTATCCTGATTTCTTGCTCTTGTTACAAAGAGATGTGAAAACCTTTTCTAGTAAAACATCTTCAAGATCAAAGGTCATCTGAAACATACATTATGATCTTTTTTTTTTGTTTGTTTGTTTAAGAATTCATGCATGAAGAATTTATGTTCATCTAAATGGTTCCTACCAGAATGACAGTTCACAGAATTACTATATAAACTGACATGGAGAACATATTTCTGTCTAACCATGAGGAAATATTAATTAGATAAAAATAACGTATTCTTTGCTTGTAACATTTGAGCTTGCTGGAGTGCTTGAGTTCTCTTAAAAGTTTTTATGTGTTTATGTCCATTCAATAGATGAAACGGAGCAAGACCAACAGGACCTTCGACAGAGAAAAGCTGAAATTGCGAGGTGCTGGATTAAGTATTGCCTGAATCTTCTGCAAAGTGCTCAGAAATTACTTGAGGTAACCAAAAATCTGTAGCTGTCATTGTTTAAAAGCAGACAAACTATATTTTGATGTTTGTAACAGAAATCAATTCATAGTTGGTAGTAAGTAAAGAATAATTGCCCAATGAATGATACAATGGCTGCTTGCACTGTAGCATTTCACAGTATGTTTTGACTTCAGTGCAGCACTTAGAAATAAGCACTGATAGGAGATCAGCTCTGTAGTGTGATCGGTGCGCTGCTTATACAGCAACTTGGCAGATTTTTCTCCTCTGCTGCATTTTCTTGCAGCTTGATTTGGCAGATTACTTCTTATTTAGCTGCTAGTAAGAACATCATCTTAATATGGAACAGTTTTGTGTACTGGTGTTCTCATTCTAGCATTTGATTCATTCAAGCATTCATTTAATTCGTTTAAGCATTCATTTGAATATTTAAAACTCGGCATGTGCTGAAATACTTTGCAGAACTAGGGTTTCTGGGCTTTACATTTATTGTTTTGGCTATATTGTCACACAGGGTAGGAAGACTAGATTATTTTAAGTCTTAGGATTTTACAGAATAGAGACTGTAGTTTACATGATTTTTTGTGATTATAAAGTCTAATATGGCAGTGCCTCTACTCTTCTGTCTTGTGGCTGTCTTGTTTATATTTCAAAGGTAACTCATAAATAATATGATTCAGTGTAAGTCTCTCTTTGTAAGCCACGTGCATTTTTAATTAATATGCTTTGTCATTTCAGGATAATATAGGAGAGCTGGATCCAGACAGGCAATTGGAACTTAAAGCCCAAAGGAAAAAAGAAGAGGATGAAAAAGAGAAAGGCAGAAAAAAAGCTGTCCTTTTTGGGATGAGTGATATATGTGACTCTGTCTTAGCCATGGAAGAGAAAGTGAGCAGTGTATATCCTTTAGATTTTCAAGAAGCCAGAGAAATCTTCCTAGTTGGTCAGAACTATGTTCAGGAAGCAAAAGAGTTCTTTCAGGTTGATGGTTATGTTACTGACCATATTGAAATTGTTCAGGATCACAGTGCTTTGTTTAAGGTACTTGCTTTCTTTGAAGAAGACTATGAGAGGCGCTGCAAAATGCACAAGCGTAGAATAGACATGCTGGAGCCTATATGCTCAGAATTGAATCCACAGTACTATCTACTGATCAGTAGGCAGCTTCAGTTTGAACTAGCTGACACCTATTATAAGATGATGGATTTAAAGGTAGCTATTGGTAACAGGCTAGAGGAGCTAGACTCCCACACAATTAAAAAAATTAATTCTCTGGCTCAGTTTGCAATCAAATATTATGAACTCTTCTTAGATTCTTTGAGAAACCCAGATAAGGTGTTTCCTGAAGTGCTCAAGGAAGATGTTCTTCGTCCTGCTATGGTGGCTAAATTTCATATTGCACGACTATATGGTAAGCTTATTACTTCAGATAGCAAAAAGCAACTGGAAAATATGCAGACATCATTGGAATATTACACATTTCTGGTAGACTATTGTGAGAAGTACCCAGATGCTGTCCGTGCCATTGAAACTGAACTAGAACTCAGTAAGGAGATGGTGGGTCTTCTTCCAACAAAAATGGAGAGACTAAGAGCAAAACTGTGTCCATTTATATAAATACTTGCCTTGAAGGAAATATGCACTATTAAAATAATATCTGTACAAACCAGTGCTGTGGGACAAGTTCTGTACTGATAGAACCAAGATGCCTACAGTTTGGGAGTCCATCTAGAGCCTGCAGTAGTATAACTTTGTGTAAAAACTCAGATTTCTCCTGTTCACCCACACTAATGGTATAAACTTTAAATGTAAAGTGAATGTCCAGCTAATGCTTTGTGTTGTTTGTCCTGTATGTAAATATAAACCTTTTCTCCCTAAGATTTTTTTCCTTCAGCATATGGTTTGGTTTCTAGGTTTAGTACTGTATGAAGATTCTTTCTTTTAAGAGAATGCTTCTCCAGCAAAATTTTTTCTAAGAAACCTGAGGCACGTTCTTCCAGCTAGAATGTTTTATGTCTTCTAACATTTGTCCCCAGAAAACTTTATCCAAAAGAAGGGAACTTTGTTATTTTCAATATTTCTTTTCGTATGTTACTCAGTGTTTTCTTTTTTTCCCCGTGTTAATCAAAATCTAGTTGATAGAAGCTCAATAAATGGACTACTTGGCTAAACATTTTTTTCAGAGTCCTTAGAATTCTGTTTCCTTGTATCTTACTAAGATACTACACGCATTACAACTTCGGTCAAAATAAATAGTTGTAAAAGTATTTCCACGCGAGTATCTTCGGTAAAAACATGTGAGCAATCAAAGTGCCAGAAGCAAAATCTCTTGCTTGTGAAGGGAGCAGATACCCTGCTCTTACTACACTTAGAGAATTCTCAGTTTAGAGGTGCTATGCTCTAGTGTTCCAAACAGTTGCTAAATACAGCTTACAGGCCTGGGATGCCAAAGATGGCTTCTCACATTGTGGTGGTCAGGGAGCCCAGATGTTGTCTTAGCAGGAGCTGAAATGAGGACCTCTCTGAAGCTGCTGCAGATCCCAGTGCTGCTGAGGCAGTATTCAAAATCTGCCTGTGTGCCATTGACTGCTGACTTCTCTGATAAAGCTGATAACATTCCTGGTCTTACACAACCTGTTACCATTGTCTTGATCTAATTTAGCCACCTATTTACTCTTTATGGAAGGCGAGGCTGCCTATCTGACCCAAAATGTACACAGAGGTTGTCTTTGTATTTCTGGTGTCCACAGAAGGATTATGAACCGTGACCTGTTACAGATAAAATGTAGGCTGAACACGTTGTCCAACCATACATTAAGAGAACACAATCAGAAATGCCAGGGAAAAAGGAAGTGACAAGGGGCTGAGGTGTGCACTAGTGTCCTACCCTGGGCTCCAGCAGTCTTACCACTGTCATGAGAAGATATTGACAGCAATAGAGGGCATTGAAGGAGAATAGTTAAAACAACTGGACTCTTCTGGAAAATGAAAGAAAACAAGAGGGGAAAAAATGACGTAAGTTTGGAGGGCGTGCGGGGGAAGCGTATGCAAGCAAGGAAGCATGTACATGTTAAACGTGTGGTAAAAATCCCTAGCTTGCAGAATTCTCTGCAGGAGACTTCTAACCACAAACAAATAAGCCAACAGATGGGTCCTGGAAATGAGAGACAGCAAACCTCAAAACTAGACCAGCCACTGGCGTGCATATAGAATAAGGGAGAGAGTGTGTGCATATGCGTGTGTGTCTTGTTTCTGTTTTACTGAATAATTGTCAGGTCAGGCCTCAGGAGTTTCTTTTTTGCTGTCAGATCTTTAATTCAGTTCTCCCCATGGCCTGAAGGTAGGGTGGCCCATAGTTTCACAGTGAAACAGTTCTCGGTGGGTTGTATTGCACATTATTTTTACCTATGATTTCAGTTAAAGCTAGTGTGCATTCTTACCATGAACTTACAATTTGAAAGTTACTTTTTTCCTATTAACTTTAAGCTTCACACTCAAGTAAAGGGCAGCAACAGATGTTTGGTTTTTCTTTGATTTTGTTTTGTTTTGGGATTTTTTTTATACTTCAGTATTCCAACACTGAGGGCCTTTGAGCAAATATTTAAGAGCAAGGTTTGGCTCTTTGGGTTAAGTTTACTTGTAATTGAGCATCAATAGATTGTGGGTTATCCCAGCATACAAACTAACTTTGTAATTTTTCCTGTCATATCCTTCAAGCACTGGTCTGACAGGAGCATTAAGTTACCTGCAGTGTAGGCAAAGCTGAGTGAAGTGCAGGGTGATGTGTCTCTTTTATCCAGCAGTTGTGTGCAGAGGAACACGCTGAATTCACTGAAATCCTACTGAGAGATCAGCAGATCCATAATTAAGAAGGCCTGGAAATAAGAGAGAGAGGAGCTTTCTCAACACGGCTGTGTGGTTGGTGGTATGGTTTGGAGACCTCTCTCTTCAAAGCTTCAGATTTGCTGCTCTTCTTATAAACCATGCAGTACAGTAAATGTAAATACATTTCATGTAAATGCACACAGAGTTACAGAAACCAATGATGCCAGTTCTTCATCTTCTATACTGAACATTCGAAACTGCCACCACATTTTACTATATTATGCCAGATGCCCAGCACAACAGATCATGTTGAAGTTCTTTTGACACATGTCTTTTTAAGGACACCTGAATGATACGAGAGAGTGAACTTACGTGAGGCTGTGTATTTAGTGGGATCCTTTTTTTTTCAAAAAGAGGAGGTGGGGAGCTTGTTGGATTAGGTGGCAAAGCTCCCTTTGGGAATGTTGAGTTTTAACTGTAAAGTATGTGTGAGGTCAGACATTTATTTCAAAGATTAATTAAAGATTAGGTTCCCATGAACTCCATTTAACCTGTGTTTCTATTTCTTTTTGTACGGCAAAAAAATCTTACAACTGAAACCTCCTTTCTGTTGTTCTGTTTTTTAAACCTTACTCAGCAGTGAGGTTTACAAGAAGCCCACGTTTGTGCAGAATTTGTATTGAGTATGAGATCTGAACTCAGAGGCTATAATTGGTGTTCTTCACATAGTGCATAATACAAGAATTAATTAAGTTTGATTAAACCCAAAGTTTTGTATTAATTTGAATGCTTTTAATTCTCATGCCAACTAGAAACATGGTAGCTGTTGCAAAATGGGGCAATTACAAGGTTGTGCTGTGCTTAAATATTTCAGGAGACAAAGCAGTGCCTTGTTCTTTGTCCCTCCCTAAAGCCCATCGAAGGAGGCTCTTTCTCTTTTTTTTCCCCTTGAGAGCACCAGACTGCAGGAGAGCAGCAGGAGGCGACAGCTGTGTTCTTTGCTGTTCCCCCCTCTAAGCCAGCTGAAATACCAGGGGAAGTGGGTAGAAGTGAGCCCTCACTTCCCATTTGCAGCAGGAAAGCGTGTTGCAAGGGGAGCAGCCAGTGGCGGGTGGTGCCTCGAGCTGGCGAAGGGGGACCAGCCAGTGGCGGTTGCTGCCTCGATGTGGCAAAAGCAAAAGGTCCCTGCCTGGTTCACTCTGTTCACCTGCATGAAAGCTCCTTGGTTTTGGAGTTTTGGTCCTGCCCCAGCAGACTCGCACGGTCCTGGTGAGGCGGATGCTTTCCTTCTCTGTGTGCAAAATAGAGATGTATCAATGTATCAGTCCAGTGCTTGCACTGAGTGTGATTGCTGCTGCACTTCCACATCCAGAAATGCTGCAGGAGCCTGATTAAACTAGACACCAGACAAGGAGAAACAAGATGATCTTTTTTGCACATCTCAGTTTAGTTTGCTGTTTTTGCTCAGCACTGAGAGTGCAAAGATGAGATTTTCTTGTATTTCTTTTAAAAGACTGAGATAGTTGGAGTTACCTACACGTTTTCTGTGGAACTTTTCATTATAAGATGCCCAGAAATAGTCCCGTGAAGGACGACACAGCTAGACTGGCAGTGCAGGAGGACAACCCTGCTGTAGACTTGAAGTTAAAAATCTGAAGACTGTTACGTTAAAATCAAGGGCATAAAGTTGTGGTGAGAAGCGTTTGTCAACTTTCTTTCCTCTTCAGCTGCAACATCTTTGTCTGCTTTAGAGCTCACCATAGATGACTATTGCAGATTTTAAATTTGGTTTGACAATTTTTAATTACTTCCCAGGAACTCTGTCCAAAGTGTCTGCGATCACTTTTTAGTTTTGCTTTTTGGCTGGTGGTTTCTAGCTCCTCCTAGTCATGGGTACATGTACGAACAGTTAGTTGTTTCCTGATGAGGATTATTTGTCTGGCTGCCTTTTTTCCAAAACCGTTGTACAACTGTGTCTTTACAACTGAAGGTGTGGACAATGTTTCAGAGAGACTTTTGGAGTGTTGGGATACTAAACACAGCACACTTTGCAAACACATTACTTCCCTTCAAGCAGAAAATGTCCATGGTATTGAGTGTTTGTTTCGGGAGAAGAAATTAATAATGTGGTGTCTTAACACCAAAGACTTCAATAATTCAGGTGGTTTTAGCAATGTTTGAAATGTTTAGTGCTGGAGATTTTGGTATCTGGTACACACACAAAAAAGTCTTTTTATATTTTCCATGAAAGAGACCTATTAGTTGGCATCAGACAAGGACGCAAGGATTTCAGCTTTTGAAGTTTTTAATGCAATTTTCTGCTGAAACAAAGAGGAACAGGAGGAGTGATTGAGTGAAAGATCACGATGGCATGTGGTGGAGTGAGCTGTGTTAGTCACTGAACACTGTAAGAGGAGCACAAGCACCAGAGGAGCTTGCGTCAGACAGCTACTCTGAGATCCGTGGGTGAAATGTGTGTGGGGAAAGAAATAAGAAATGAATTAACAAGATGATTTCCTGTACCTGAAGTGTCTTGGACAAGAGCAAGTGATTCCCAGGCAGGGTCTCAAATTACTCAGAGTTTTGGCCATGAAATTCCTCTTGCTTTTCTGGAGCCCATCTCTGGATAGCCTGTGGGTTCAGCAAACACCAGAGAAGTTTCATAGCAGCCCGTGAGAGGATACAACCAGATGGACCCAGAGCCTCCTTCACCAGAAAGCTGGGACCTTTTAAATAACAGAGGTAGTGACACCCTAAAAGTGGTGTCTGGTACAGACAAGGAGACAGAAATGTGATGCTGGATCCAATTGCCAGCACATGGTCTGCTGGCAATAAAGAACAACATAATCTTTTGCCACCGAAGTTTACTCTGAACACCCAAACATCTACCGATGGTTTGTGCATGGACACCTGGAGCTGATGAGTGTCACACACTGCTGTCCACCCTGCTGTCCACATCTGGAACTTTTGACAAATAACTCTCAAATCCTTTTTAACTTGTCCCTGTGTTTTGCCTTAATTTTTTCTCATGGCACCAAGCTGCTGGTGTTACATAGAGCTTGTAGAAAGAGGTACTTTGCTCTCTATACCATGAAGACACAAGGTACTGCAAGTCTTCTGAGTCCTACCTCCCTGGTCTGCCTGTCCTGGCCTCACCCCTGCAGTCTTTGCTGGAAAGGTTAGTTGAGATGAATCCAAAAAATGTCCAGCTCCTTTGGTCGATAGGAAATTTCTTTTACTCTAAGCAATTTCACCTCTTTCCCCGTTACTCAGCAAAGATCACAAAATGATGATAAAGGGTTAGTTAACTGTGGCCCGAACACCCGCTCGGCTCCACTTTACACAA